ATACTGTGAAAATAGACTGAAAAGACTGTGTCAGCACATTATCAAGAGAGGGATTACTGTGGAAAATGCATTTTCATTGCTATCTGCTGCTGTCAGATATGATGCAGAGGTAAATTTCCAAAGTTCAATCTCTTAAACAGGTGGCTCCTTTCTGACCTAAACTGTGGAGGAAAGTAGTCAGTCATGTTTTCATATAAGCTAGCTCCAAATATCAGATAGCACTATCTGCCACTTGCAGGATTTGAGAATGTTGCCTTTGGAATTAAGAGCTTCATTGCAAATATGGTTTTTATATATATTTTTTGGATATGACTTGGCAGAGAGGTGTGGGTAGGGTGAGCTGGTACACAGATATCTAAAGATGACTGAAGTTGCAGGTAGAGAATTGGTATCTGTCAGTGTTTGCATTGCTTAGCTCATGGTGAAAGTCTAGAACAGTTTTCATGAATTATTGTTTCTGTGGGAGGGAAAAAAACCTCAAAAAAGAGAAGATAAAGACTAACTCTCAAATGAGAGAAGGGCTTAAAAACAAAACAAAAGTCACATTATGGAAAGAAACTCTTGTAGGTCTTGTAAGGTTGTGGGTTACACGTGATATCACGTGGTGGTAGGATCTGAGGAGTGGTTTATTTTCTGAGTTATTTTAACTACAGTCAAATACACTTTCTTTAAATTATGCTTATGAAATGGCAAGATTACAGCTGCTTTATGAACCTAATTAATTTTGAAGACTGACGAACAGCATGTGAAAAAGGAGGAAGGCCAGTAAAACATCCTGCAGAATGTCTGCATTAGGACATCACTGGTATGCAGCTTTGTCATGTAATCAGGAAGTATCCCTGGGCTTTCTTCAGTCCTTTGTGCTCTAAATAGTATCCATGCATCATATTTGCAGTTTAGTTTGTTTTTCACCTGCTATTTATATAGAGTTGGTTCTCAGTAAGTGAATTCTGTGCTGCTTCTTGCACTTGAGAGCTGTCAGTAGGCATGAAATGCCCTAACGCAGCTACTTCAGAGACTTCAGAGCCTTGTGGTGCATTGCTGGTTTGATGTACCTTAGTGAAGGGCTGCCTTAGAGTCTGAATTATGGCTTCAGCTCTGTGGTGATTAAAGGCTGTGTCAGTGCAAGTCATGGAAAACAGGAAGCTTTCTGTACTTTAGCCTTAGAAGGTTGGTTGTGGAATGGGTGCTCGGAGTGATTGATTCTGCCTGTAAGGGGAAGCTGGAAGTGAAGTGCAAGTTGATCCAAATGCTACATCAAGGAGAGAGTAGGCAATACTGAAGAGCTGCCTTGTTTAAAACAATAATTAAAGATGTATAGTAGTGGTAGATCAGAGTTTGAAATTGCTTGGGTGATGTCGTTCATTCAAGGGTCTGCGTGTCTGGAAGACAGCAGGTAAAAGGACTTCACTAATTTAAAGTGCTTTTAGGATGTGAAACTCCCCCATGCTTTTGAGGATTGAGTGACTGGATGAAGTGCTTAGAACTAGTTCAGGTCTTCCTTCTGAGGAAGGTTAAAACACTCAGTGGATGTACTTGTGTTTTTTTTTTCTTTTCACTTAAATCTGTATTAAGTACAGCTTGCTGGGAGTGCATCCATCCACAAATGAAATTCAGACTTTTTGATACAGAGTTTTGAATTTCCTGAAGTTTCTTAATAGTGAAAGAACACTGTTTGTTGTACACCTTATTGCATTGACTTGGTATATGAATTTTTAATAAAGCAGTGCAAAATACCGTGATGTGTATGATGTAATTTTGTTTGAAATGCTGGTTAATTCTGTTCTTAAAAACAAAACAAAACAACCCTCAGTGTTCAGTTCTAATAAGCTTGTCTTTTTTCATTGCACAGATGCCAAACAAGTCAAGATCTGCAGCTTCAGAAAGCCTGGTGTTAGGCCAGGATGCATTTCTGTATCAGTGTTGTGCCAAGAACTCGCTGGCACACAGTTGCCCTAGTTGTCACTGTTGACCTTAAGTGCAAATCTGAATGATAACCAGCCTGTCATACCTATGGTGGCTTAAAGAGCTGCGCACACTTGCTGTGCCTTGCTGCAGCACTCAGTCTGAGCTAAGGAGGAGGGGTGTGTTCTCATGTAGAAAGCACAGTTCCACAAGTTGGTGAAGCACTGAAGGAAGTGGAACAGAATGGGGAGCTGCTGTTCTGGAAGGGCTGTGACATATTCCTTAAAGCAGCTTTGCTCTGCACCACAAGGAATTGATTTCCTTCCTCCTCAAAGGAGAGCTGGAAACAAACAATGTGAGCGGGAAACCTTCTGTGCTCAGCATCACGTTGTCAGCTGCTGTCTTTTGTTTTTTAGACATCCTTTCTCTCTGACATCACATGGGTGCAATGGGGGGCTTTTCAAATCCTTAAATGGAAGGCTCTTCCAAGCAGTCTCAAATATCCAGAGCAAAACTTCTGCAAGAAATGCTGTATTGTGCCACAGTGTATCTTTATTTTTATTTGGGTCATCTGTGAAGCACTGTGTTACCTGGGTCTGTTTCTAATGAGCATGAGGTCTTCTGCTTAAACTCTGCTTTAATGTTGCCTGATACACACTTGCATTGAGCCTGGTGATGTGCAACTTGAAGGCTTTATATAATTAAGCAGGAAATTGAGCAGCCTTACACATAGGTCTGAGTTCATATTATGGAATGAAAGAGCTGAATTGCCTCCATCCACAGTCTTGGTTATGTTTTGCTATCCTAGCAATTCCTGTTGTTTGTACTGGGTTTTAGCAGGTGTCAGTAAATGTAAATAGACAGTTCATATGAAGAAACTTTAAAAGGTACAAAAAAATCAGATATTCTGAGGAATGTGACTCAGCTGTATAGGGAAAACCAAACCATGGCTGTTTTGTCCCCGTAACTGTGTTAGTGAGGGTAGAATCATTTTCTGACGTGTTTCTGTAGGGATGCTGGGAGGAGGGAGGAAAAGGTTGAAAGGTGCTGGATTAGTTTGTCTGGTTCTCTGCAGAAGTAAAGCTTAGAAAGGCATTTGTGCCCTACTGAATGTAAGCTGCTGTAATGGAAGAAAGATAATGAGGCTTTCCTTTTTTTTCTATTTAGGACTTAGAGGATTTCTGCTTTAAATTCTGTGTTAACCACTTGACCGAAGTGACACAAACGACAGCATTTTGGCAAATGGACGGACCCCTGCTGAAGGAATTCATTGCTAAAGCCAGTAAATGTGGAGCCTTTAAGAACTGAGTTGAGGCTGCAAGCGACGGGCGTCTGTAGGATGTTTTGCAGATGTAACAGGTCGGTGTAACTGCGCGGGTAAAAGTGGCACCTGGTGTCTCACAGCAGAAGCTGTGCAAGGCCACAGCAAAATGTGCTCTGTGCTCACAACTGAACTGCTGTAAAACTGTCAGGCAATGTACTTGCATGTAGCACATCTGGATGGAGGAACTAGCAGCAGAGCTCCTCACAAAGGAGAGAGTAAAGACTGCAGCATCCAAGAGGCACCAGGTGATGTTAAGGACTTTTAGGCTAGGAAATCCTGTTTCTAGCATTGCCTGTTAATATTTTAAATGTACTGTTTAAGGGCTCAGAGCCCCTGAATGAAGTCATTTAAATCATTAGCTCTCTGGGTTATAAAGAGCCAAAGGGCATGGATATCTTTTGTTGCAGTTGCATGATGTGAAATTGCTGGTTGCTGTGTGTAATTAACCAAGTGTATTCGGTGCTTAGAGAAGTGTGCAAAACCAGTGCATCCTCAGAGCTTGCAGAAGCAACTGACAAAGGTAACTCAGAAAAGAGGGGCTGCTAGCAGATCTAGTTTGAAGCCAAATTCTATATTTGGGTATAACTCAATATAAGTTGTAATGTATACTTTCTGTAATCTGCTTAAGTAATATTTATGACAGCTAATGGGAAGATTTCCCACTTTGACTTTAGTTAATTGGCTCCCCTAGTGGAAAAAAATACACTGTTCTGAAAGCATTTGTTTCATTTTTTTTCAGTTAAGTATTGTATAAATTTAAACTACGTGCAATAAAATTCTTTTTTTTAAATAACTCTTTACAAGCAAACTTCCTTGAAGAAAATGTCAAGCTTTGTGTTACGTTGCTACACCTAAGTTGATTTATTTAAAAAAAAAAAAAAAAAAAAAAAAAAAACCACAAAACCTCACAGATGATGTATTACTGAATGTTACTGACCTAACTGTGCTTGATGTGCACCTGTGACCTCCATTTCAGAAAGCCTGCAGTTTGTCTGTAGGTACCAGCACAGCACCTGGTGACTGCAGTCCATGTTGCTGATGTTTCCAGACAGGAAACACTGATGCTGTATCTTCACAGTGGCCACGTGCCACCTACTGTTTGTATCGTGTGCAATAAGGATGTTATTGTGCTGCCTCCAAGGGTAGAGAAGTTTAAATTTGAAGTTTAGATTGACATTAACAGCAGATTGGCTTTTTGGGGTAAACCTTTGCTCAGTGTGGCAGAGCCAAGGTTTCATAGTGTTGTAGAGAGCAGGGATCTTCTACAGCATGACAGGAGGAGTTCAGTGTAGGATTGTGCGAAGAAACACTTCCACGTGTGTCAAAAGCAGTGTTAATGCACAACTTGCTCTAGACTGCAAACTATAAACTAATCTTGACTAAAGGTCTAGCTTGGTGAGAAACAATTTGGGCTGCCCTCATCAGGAGTTCAGATCTTTGCAATAAGGAAGGAAAAAGAATTAGCCTGAGTTGAGCTTTACTTCTTTCCACTGATGGTGTATTTTCATCTTGGTTTCCTAGTAACTCATCATAGATGATCCTTTCTCCACTTTGATGCATTGAAGGGCAGTGCCTTGGTTTTAGGAGGCACAGGCTGGCCCTGGAGCCTGTTGTGCCACTCTGTAGTGTGAGAGCCATGCTCTTCAGTGCTGCTTCTGCTTGCTGCTGAGAGGCACAGTGTTGGTAAACCCAAGGGGGTGACAGCCTGCCCCCTCCTTGGCCACATCCCATGCAGCAGTGGGGCTTCTGAGCATGACTAAAGACAGCTTTCTTAAAAACACTTCATTTTTATTAAGTTACTCTTTTCTAATCAATGCTTTTCTGTATTCAAATCATTTTAATATAATAGCTCTTAAAGGATACAACTTCCCTCTGTTTTTTTCTTAACAAAGAAAGGAAAAAGACAGTCCCATTGTCTGATCCATTCTATACTGTACACATAGATTGGAGTGTAGTACCTCACCACTTCTGGTCTGCCTGCAGCCATCACTCTAGCACTGCTGCTACAGCAGACCTAATATCAATCAAAAAACACTTTAAAAACCTCCAGCTTACAATTCCAATGACTTCTCTCAGTGCAAGTCCTGCTAGTTGATCTTTGGAAAGCCAGGGCAGCACTGTGGTCCTTAAAACAACACCGTGTAGATGCAGACAGGGAAGTGGCCACTTCACACAGGCAGGAGAGGCTGCTGCAATTAAAGTGACTTGAAAAAGCTTTCAGTGGCAGCTGATGATAGTCCTTTGTCTTTGAAGGAAAAAGTCCTCGGGGAGGGTTTTATTCAGCTTTAAAAAACTACAGCTGAAGTATAATACAATTATCCACAGTAAAATTTAAAGAGTAACAACTTCAAGTTACTGCAACAGTGAGGTATAAAAATGAGTAAAAACATCCAGTCTTTGCTTGTGGCCCTAGCCTGGGGGAAAGGAAGTCACACACTGACCAGATGTGCTCTATATGGTTCCTATCATCAGAAAACGTGGAGTATTGACACCATGACCGACAGCCGTGGGGTTATTCAGACACTGTACTGGATGTACTGGCAGTACTCTCTTGGGAGGGCAGGGAAACTTCTTTTAACTCCTGCAGTAGCTCAATCTGGTTATCCAGTCTTTTCCTGCTTTCCAGCAGTTCTTGAATTTTTTCCTCAGTCCCTATTTGGAAAAGAAAGGGATAAAAGCTTTTATTCATTTATTTTTAGATACAACAGTTATTAATGTCTATTTAGTGTTATAAATTAACAGGCAGGTTGCAGAGGCCTCTACTGCTCAGTTTTGCCTCGTGACACCAGTGCCTTTAGGGTGCTGCACTTTCTGTGACCCCTCATCTCTACTTGTCTTTACTGTCAGCCATCACAGTTGGCACTCATCCATTGATGAAGGTTTGGAACCAGCTTCGACATGCGTTCTCATTATTGACTTGGAAAGTAGAAGTAGTTTGGATGGAATCAGAACAGAAGAGGTTGACTGAGGAAGATCGGAGCTGCAGAAGTAGTGGGGAACAGGAGGGGGGACAGCCTTCACCAGCATACCCATAGGTGGCAATGCCAGCATCTCTGCTGTAAGCTCAGAAAAGGATGCAGTGTGCAGCAAGTGGGATGATGAGCAGAAATGTGTCCAACTGCCCTCAGATGAGGCAGTGTTAGAACCTTGCATTGAGGTTAACTGCAGCACCAGGCCTGGTGATTTAGGAAACAACAGCTTTTAGTCAGTGGCAGCACTCCATTTTAGGGCCTGTTCTCTATAATTGTTTTGGCAACGACTTCAATACTTGAAGGCTTAAAGGTACACTAAGTACTAAGGTTGCCTACTAAGTTTTATGCTTGGAAAAAACAAAAGAAATGCTGAGAAGTAGTACTAGGTCTTCCTGAACTGCTAAGGGTAGGGAAATTGACATGTTTAGAGTTAGAAATAGACTGGGGGCTGAGGGAATGGCACAGAGCTGTGTCAGGGCAGGGGCAGCGGGGGGTTAAGGACAGGGTCTGCACCAGAAGGTGCTGGGCATGGAACAGCCTGCCCAGGGCAATGGGCACAGCCCTGAGCTGCTGGAGTTCAAGGAGCGCTTGGACAGCGCTGCCAGATCCATGGCTGAATGCTGGGTGGTGCTGCGCAGAGCCACGAGTTGAACTTGATGCTCTCTGAAGGTCCCTTTCAAGCCAGCATGCTCTACGATTCTATTATTTTAACAAATTCTCAGAAGAATAACCTTTATACTAAAACCATACCAAAGTGCTACCAGCTGACAGCATAATTCACTTACCTGAATGAATATTTGTCAGTATGTTCTCAAACAGTCCACAGTCAAAAAGCGATATTACTGTCTCCTCATACTCTGCAGGGAATGATAATATCACAGAGGAAAGGTTTACAGAAGCCTTAATGTAGCACCTAACATTAGATGCAGCACAAATTAATTCATTAATGATTTACATTATAGGAATTACCTGCATTACAGCAATTGCTTGAGGTTTTAAGAAAAGCCAAGAAAACATAGCACATCTCCACAGCACATCTAATTCTGGACATCTTCACCTATCACTGCCTTAATGACCACGCCAGAATTATGCTTCAATTTCCCAATTGAGGCATTTTGTGTTTATTTCAATGGAAGCCTGCAGAGTTCACAGGACCATCAGGAGGTTCTCTCCTGGACTCTTCTTCACTGTGTGGGAGAGGAGCACAGCTGGTCTTCCCCAGCTGTCCTACCAAAATTCACGACATTGAGTACAACAATTTAAAGTCAGAAGGCCTACCAGAGCATACTGAGTTAGCAGCAAGTTCCCTCTATGCCAAAAAAACCAAAACACAGCACCTCTGCCCACCTGCAGAAATATGACAGAAGCCAGTTGCCAAGTACTAACAATGGCCCCACGTCACTGTTCTGAGGACTCCAGTGCTTGGCAGTCAGATCAACATTTCTGCTGTGAGGACAGTGACCGCAGACCCCCGTACCTGTCTCTGAAGTGTTGTCATCCATCAGCTTTTCCTGTGCCAAGTGAAGGGTGTCCAACATTTCTTCAAATATGTCATCCAGAAGCCCTGCTTGCTTGCATTTCCTGAGAAAGTCGATTCGGACTGTTAAAACACAAACACAAACACTCGTAAACATAAAAGATCTTGAGCACAGCAGCTTAGGCTTTACCCATACATTTCAGAAACTGAAGCTTCAGTTCAAAGCCCACTTCTAGTAACACACATCCACCTGGCTCCTCTTGCTACTCACTCAGCCCTCTGCAGAGGGAACAACAGTGTGGTCAAGTTCTTTACTGTGAGAGTGGTGAGGTGCTGGCACAGGCTGCCCAGAGAGGCTGTGGATGCCCCGTCCCTGGTGGTGTTCAAGGCCAGTTTGGATGGGGCCCTGGGCAGCCTGGCCTGGTATTAAGTGTGGAGGTTGGAGGCCCTGCATGTGACAGGGGGGTTGGGGATTCCTGATCCTTGAGGTTCTTTCCAACCCTGGCTGATTCTGTGGTCAAGAGAATATAAGCACTGTGCTGGGTGTAAGTTCACAGAAACTCAAGATTAGGCTTTGTTCAGAAATCAATGCATCACTGTTCCTAGAGCTGCTCAATACCCCTAGTGTAGAAAAGCAGGTGATGTGCTTTTACACTACTTATTTTTAAGTTCTCTGGACAGCACCACAGACTGAGCAGGATAAAGGATAGAAAACAGTGCAAGGAGCTCAATATTTAGGAAGCCCAATTCCTGCCCAGGGAACCACAGCATTCTCATTTAAGGTGCACCAAGCAGCTCTCGCACACTGCTGCATGGCTAGAACTTGTGCAGTCACTGTGCAAATCAGACTGTCTTCCTTGCCACAACAGTCACTTGTAGATAAGGGAAATGGAAGTTTTCAGCACTGCTGCTATCAAACATCTCCAGGCACTGTACATCAGTGCAACACAGCACAGTAGCAGCTGTTCTATAAGCAGCTGTTCTATAAAGCCAGTCACACCTTTGTGTCTGCTGCTTTTCCTTCTTAATATCCGTAATCTGTTTTCTTCTGCCGTCTCTTCTGCCCTCTGTAAAAAAAAAAAAAAAACCAACATGTTTTAACATCACACTGATGTTTACTGCTCTGTTTTCCATACCTTACCTCTGTGTTAGTGGGCAGGGAAAAAGCAGCTCATGATTTTGTGAATCAAGTCAGCTTCTCCACACACCTACCAGTACCCCTCTCCAGACATTCAGGATTCTCAAAGGGGAAGCAAAAACTGCTTCGAAGTGAAATCTCTAAGGAAAGCACAGTGAGGGACACTGCCCTTCTTAACTGCTGTTACTGCACTTGCACAATATACTCAACAGCTGAGAAATTCTTGGAGACAAACAACCTAGTTGTGAAAGTGCAGCTGAAAGCTGCAGACCGTCCATGTCTCCTCACATTGCTCCCTCTAATGCAGAGAGCTGGAGATGGCAGCAGCTCTTCCCAAGCTGCAGGCCGGCTCCTCTGGGAAGGAGAAATCCTGACACCCAGCGCTCAGGGAAATTCCCATGAAAGCTCTGGTGGAGCCAAGAGAATCCTGTGAGTCTCTCTTAACACACTGTCAAAAATACTTCACTAAAGGAGTCCTTTACTGCAGCAGATGTGGGTTTCTGTTTTAGAACTATTTAAATTTGGAATTACCATTTGTTCCGTGGTGGTGGAAGATTTCGATGCATGTCTTTTCCTCTTATTGGCTGCATCTAGAAATCAAGAGACAAAGTCTGATTAAATCTGTGAAAACTGACTTTTTTCTTCCAACCAATCCTTGTTACTGTTAACACACGCTCAAAACAAAGGCTACACAAAGAATTATTTTAGGTGTCCCAAAGGTATATGAATTACATTGAGTTTCCTTTGCTCCTAGAAAACCTCCAGAGCTCCCAATGGGAAGCAATGTTACTGGTGAGCTTGTATTAATTAAGTTGCAAAGCATTTTTAGTGGCAAAAATCTCTGCAAACTCTGCTTCTCTCTCTCTGTCCCTCCCATCAGTCCACACCAGCCTCTCTCCACCACAGCATCATAAGCAGAGAAGGAGAGAAAGCTGGAGAAGAGCACAACCACCACCAAAACTTGAGGGCTTTAAACACAGTGGAGTGACATGGCTCTCTCCCTTGTAGCTCCACATGCCTTGGATAGCATGTAGTAAGCGTTAAACCTACTAGAAATCATCTTGGGAATGAAGAGTTACTGCTGGTACAGAAAGGGCTGTTAGAACAAGTTCTTTTTGGGCCCTGTGCTGTACATTTTGTATTTTTTGTGGCCTGAAAGGAAATCATATCCACCCAAAACAAAGCTGGGTGGCCTATTTTGGAGCACTACAAAGTGCTGGCATAGGCACAAAGCACGGCTTGCTGTCTGTCAGGACACCTTTGATGAACACTAGGGTTTCCTGAGCCCTTCCTGATACGTTTTACAGTGCATTAGGAGTTGCCTTGGAAAGCAAGGGAACGCAGTCCAAACAGCTACCCAACCTCTCTGCTCCTCACAGACTGTCCTCAGCTCTTCTATGTGCATCAGGTTTCTCTCCAGAAACATCCAACACTTCCAGCTGAGCAAAGGCTGGAGCCCACTTCCAAGCTCAAGCTGCCCTCCCACCCCTGCAGCAAAGAGCAGCAAAACCTCTTGCCCTTAAGGTACCCTGTCCTCTTTCCATCGCACAGCAGGGGCCTGATATTTCCATATAGGAATGCAAAATGTACTTAGAACAAGGGGGATGTTTCTCAACTCAATTTTCTCCAGATTGCCATGGAAAACATGCCTGGAGAGCTGGTTAACTCAGAGACATTCCTGACTACCTCCAAACGCAACAAGCACCAGGACCATCAAGTTCAACTGCACTCCTGCAGCGGAGGAAGCAATTCTTTAACACACCCTTTTGCTACATGTAAAAAGCTCTTTGGGATCCTTCAGAATGAAAGGCCACGTTTAAGAAGGACTGCAACGAATGGAGAAGATGCAGATGTGAATGTTCTAACATTGCTACAGACAAAATGCCAGGTTTTTACAAGTTGCTTGGGCCTTCCTGCCATGAAGGGTTGGGTCCACAGTCAGTTGTGGAGGAGATCTGGAGCTGATCAAATATCAACATTTCCTAAATCAATAGAACTTATTGATTTCTGGTGCACAGGTGGGTCTCAACCAACCGCCTCCTGCAAGATCAGAAACTCCCCACTCAATAGAAAGGAGGAATAACGTTCAGTCTGTTCAAATGTGCCACTGACTGTAGCATGCACACCTCTAAAACAGATACAAATCAATGAAGCCATTAAAAGAAACTCACCGTAGTGATTGGTCCTGTTGCCTGGGTCATGTTTTGAGCAGAACACTCTGAAAGTTCAGTTCAATTTTAAGAGAAAAAGTATTAATGAACACATACACAGAGTTATGCTGACTGATTTCAACAAATATTTGAGTATTTTCCCCTCCATCCATTCTGTGTAAATTGAAAGACATCCTAAAAAGAATCAGGATTTTTCTCCAGCATTACCCACCTTGAAGTGAAGTCACACCCACACAAGTTTCTAGTGTTACTTCTGAAGCCTCAGCAGGCTCTGAATGTGGCAGCTTCAGATTAACAGCTCTATCACCCCACTGTCTGGCCCTGCTCACTGCTCAAATCAGCTCAGATGCATTTAATGCCAGGTGGCACTGGGCAGTGACACTGAGACAGCGCATCACCTGCAATACTCTTCCTAAAGCATGAGATAAAGCATGAGATAAAGCATGAGATAAAGCATGAG